ATATTTTTAGAAATTTCTCTGTTGTTCAGCTCTGAAATTATACTAAAACAATTATTTGCCTCAAATTTGATGAATATTGTTGAATAATCCCCTCGACTTCATCTTGGGGATTATTCAACAATATTCACCTTGCCTTCCGCAAATAATTGTTAATGATAGATAAGTGGTCCTCTACAGTGCTGCTCAAAAGTAAGTTTCCACCTCTTGCCTCTTTTCTCATGAGACACGTCTCATTTCTCTCAAGACACATTTTGTTCCTCTCAAGAATCATTGAATTGTTATATTACTCACAAGAGGCTGGCATGCATGGCAAAGATAACAGCTGCATGTGTTATTAACCAAGTGTGAGGTCAAGACGGCTGGATATTGGCTGGGTTCTCTTTTTTTTGTGCATTGTTACAGACCAAGACAGGGTTGTAGCTGAGAAATTATGCTGCTGGGTAAAATTTCAAGTGAGGTGGCTCAACGGTGGTGAACAATTGTAAGTGTATAAACTTGGAAGTGCCTGTTATGCCTTAGCAACTGATTCCTGGCCAAAAATTCAGCTGGCAATCACTGCTTTTTCATCCAGCGAATTTTGTTGGCACCCAGCGCTTAGCTACAACCCTGCCAAGATAAAGTCGAGGTCCATAAAAATGCAAAAAAAAAAAGAATGAGGTTAATATCCAGCCATCTTGACCGAACAAGCTTGGTTAATAGAGGATTTATCATATTGTAAAAAGATTTTGCTTTATTAAGAATTAAGAAAGACTTGTTCACTTTGAGAGCCAGGAAAGAAAGCCAATTGTGTTTGTAGCACAACAAACTCAACAGTCATTTCTGTTTTCGTTGTTTTGACTATCTTCTGCCACTTTTTGCGATGCAAAAATTGTCCAAGAATTATGAATGTAGTTCTAATTCTATTTTTTTTGTGTGTGCAGGATCAATGTGGACAATCCTGATTGGGCAAGATTGGTCCATTTTTCCCACTTGGGTAGCCAATCAGAACACCGGACTTGCTTCATCTTGCCCACGGGTGCTGTGAGTGATGTAATAAATGTAGGTATTAACAACAAGTTTGATTGAATGTGAAATACTGTACGCTTACTTTAATAGAATGTTGACATTTTCCACTCGTCAAGCACAGTACACCATTATCAGTCACCTAAAATTTAACAAAAGAAAATTCCTTTAGTTTAGGCAACATTTTTAAACAATTCAGGACTGTTTTCAAATTGTTTCTAAATGGCAGGTTAAGGAGCAATCATTATCAACTGAGGAAATCTAACTTCAAAAGGCAGTAAAAATGCACAGATATAAAAATTTAGCCTTAAAAATCTGGAAAAAGTGCACACAGTAAGCAAAGAAAAGGTAATATAGATAAAGTTTTTTCTGTAAGATAAAGAAAAGCTTCCAATAATTACAAAAAGACCTTGACTCTCTAACAAAGTTGCATTGCTTTAAAGATGGAAAAAAACGTTTGAAATATACTAATAAATTCTCTAGTTATTAACTTCTTATTTAACTACCACGTGATTCTACAGTACATTCATGCACACACTACTGTACTATTACATAAAATTTAGAATAAGAGATTACTTCTGCAGAAATTATATAAACTTGTGTATTAACCTTAGTATTTGAGAGATTAAGACTTTGAAGAAATCTACAGTTTTGAGCTATGAGCTGAAGAGATATATCTGTTATTTTGATGCATCCACACAAATTGAGATGTTCCAACCGAGAACAGCTTTGTGTTAAAGCAGCAACAGCATCATCTGTAAGTTTGACACATCTGCGGAGATACACTGTCTGAAGGCAACAACAAGATGAAAACACTCTGCTTATACCTGTTGAGAAGATAATATTGCAAAAAAATAAAAATGAAAAATACAAGCACAAAAATAATGTAAGATTCGGTGGCTTGAAGTTATTCTTGATGTAATTATTAGTATCATTTAATCACATGTTCCAAAAGGCCCCGATGCATTTCAAATTAAAAAAAAAAACATTAAAAAAAAAAAAACCTTGTATAAAAGGCAACAGTCTGGGGCAACATACCTTCAGAGGAAACATCCTCTCTGGAATTCTTGGTAGCATTCAAGTCTAATTTTCGTAGGTTTTTACAAACACAGATGAAAGAGAGTCCTCTGTCTGAAACTGCACATTCACACAACTCCAGCTCCCTTAGTGCAGGGTGTAATACCTTAAATAACAGTGACAATGAAATACTTATCACATCAAAAACACTACAGTCGAACCTTTATTAAGTGGCACCATATTAGGCAGTCACCCTGTATTAAGTGGCACCATATTAGGCAGTCACCCTGGCACCATATTAGGCAGTCACCCTGTATTAAGTGGTTGGCTGCTAATTAGTCCTAAAAATGTTTTCCCTTAATTACTGGAATTCGATGGTCATGGTCATCCATGGTCGCCAAGATGGAGTCTCAACAACCTGTTTGTATTTGTCTTCACCTAAATTGAACAGTCACTTAAAGTGGAACTACTCAAAAAGACTAGACACAATCTCTCACGTATAATTATTTTACCTTGTTTATCTCTCAAACTTTGAGTTTAAATGTCTTCAAAGAAGTGCACGTACAAATGTTAGTTAATTAATTTCTTGTACAGCCATTTCAATAAGAAGCTATCACCTTGAAAATGATTCTGACAACCAATTCTTCTTAAACTGTGCAAAAATATCAAAGCTACAGTAGTCGGTCTGATTGCAGATCAGATTTAGAAAAGCGGCGGCCACAGTGTCCACGCAAGTGTTAGTTCTTTTAGTGACCTTTTGGTTACAAAATATAAAATATTTTCCACTTTGTCTAAATTCTACTCTATTTTCAATCGTCAAATCCTACTTTCTTAGCAAGAGTTTAAGGAAATCCCAGTCCCCGTTTTCTTCTTCCAGATCCAACGACAATTCGTTACTCACACTTCCAAGATTTGTGTCCGTTAAAAGTCCTCGCTTTGACAGCAAATTCACCAGCTTCGTCTTAATTTCGACAGGAAGCTGGGCTAAGGAAGTTTCATGATCTGCCAACTGACCAGCAACTGCTCTCAGGCAATAGTTTTGCAAACTGCTCACCGCTGCGAAAACCGCCATATTTTGGAATGTTACGATGGGTGATAACCGCTAGTAATTCCCTTGCTTTATGTGGGCTCATTTAGGAATCAAGTTATTTGGTTTGGAATGGTTTTGCGTCAATTTTACTTTTCTTTCGGCAGTTTCTATTACTTTACGAAAAGGTTGTATTATAGTTTTAAAATTTTTACAGCTGGTTTTCCTTTTTTTTTTTTTTTTTCCAATCAAAGTCAATGAAGGCCATGCGAAATTAACCCGGCCCCAGTCTTTAAGAGTCCTCCTACCCAGCTTCCTCTCATTCATTTTCTCTTCCCTTCACGTTGGCTGAAATGTCTTCACATTTAGTGCGTAATCCAGGCATTCCGCTCGATTTAGAATGGGTGAGTAGGACAAGAGTTAACCTCCCGGCTGTTAAAAGACGGGCAGATACACTCAAGACTCGCCGGTCGGTAAAGAAGCAATGGCAAGCGGCGTGGCTTTTGAGGGCAGTGACTTGTATCGACCTTACCACTCTGTCTGGTGATGACACGGCGACGAATGTATCTCGACTATGCTTCAAAGCGCAAAATCCAGTTAGAAAAGACTTACTGGAAAACATGGGTATGGAAGGCAAGGGTATAACTACAGGTGCTATCTGTGTGTACACTTCTCGAGTTCCAGACGCCGTGAAGACTCTAGAAAATCTTAACTCCAAGATTCCAATCGCTTCAGTTGCTGCAGGATTCCCAGCAGGTGAAGAACGAAGTTAAATTGTTGGGACTGCTTCTTGAAATGAAGTACTGTGGTTTTACACCTTAACCTAGACCAGGAATTTATAAAGTTATGGGAAATCCCTCTAAAAAATGTACTTTTTATCCAGGTACAACCCCCTCCAGAAACAAACAAACAAACAAAATATTGATGAATAAAGTTATTGAGGAATAAAGTTATGAATAAAGTTATTGAGGAATTATCATGTGGGACCTTGATTTTGGGTGAAGTCCTTTTTTAACATTGGAACTTCCCATATTTAGTGTTTATTATCATAACTTTCTTGTATTACCTCGAATATATATATATATATATATGAATAATATCCCCAACTGTTTTTTGTAGCTGTTGTTTTCTTCTCTTTTTTATCTCATGAATTTGGGAGAAATCAATAGTGATATTTGGAGTTGTAAGGAAAAAGTCAGCATTTTACAACTGCTGTATTTACTTGCACACCCTCCCTCCCCTGCATTTTGTGCAACAAGCCAAAGTGGCGTGCTTTAGGCAGAGTGTTTAATGAGGCAAGGAATTCTCTAGGAAAATTCATCACTTGACGAAGGAATTTCGCATAAAATTGCACGTGAAAACTGATATTGCACAATTCACTTCATGATTCTTGTGATATAGGTGCAATTTAATGTGGAATTCATGAGTCAAGTAGTAGATTCTTGAATCGCATAAAGGAATAAGAAAAAAAAAAGCAAACAGTGTTACTTGTAATTGTTATGTATATGTAGTGGTTCAATTTTATACTTGGTTCAAATTTTATTTTCCTTTGTTCTCGGTCGTGTTAATGTAGGATAATGAGTTTGAAACAAAGGTAAATAAAATTTGAATCAAGGATAAAAGTGAACTACAACATATATGTAGATGTGAAACAATATCACTCAGCCTCATTTTCAACTTGCAATTCCACGCTAAATACCTCGCTTTGTTAACCAAGCAGAATGTCAGATTTCATTCAATTATGCGATTCCAGGTGAGATGAATCTCTAATAATTTAATAATTATTTAACAATGCAGTCACTGACCAAAAATTCACTTGCAAGTCTCATTTGCACTAAACCTTTTTTTGGATCTCTTCCACTTTCTTGTTGTTTTCACTTTGGTAAATTGTTTTGATTTTGGTGAATTGGAAATACTGTTTTTATTACAATTCACTGGTGTGTCCCATGAAAGTGAGGCTTAGGGGGTGAATTGGGTTGTCCAAGGTTATTTTGGTGTTATCATCCGAGTTGTTATTGTAAATTGGCCACAGTAAAGAGTTTCAAAGCTGACATGTCAATCGATAACCCCTTGTCAGAGTGAGTGACAAAGGGCTACTGCTTGAAATGTCAGCTTTACATTATCAACTCAGTTAATAAGACCAAAATTGCCCGGTTACTCCCACCTCGTCAGAGCAGATGATGAAGGGCTAATGCTTGAAATGTTAACTTCACATTTTCAACTCAGTTAATAAAACCAAAATTGCCCCGTTACTCCCACCTCGTCAGAGCAAATGATGAAGGGCTAATGCTTGAAATGTCAGCTTTACGCTTTCAACTCAGTTGATAAAACCAAAATTACCTTGTTACTCCCACTGATGCAGCACCACAGAAACTTACCCCCTTAAGTCTAAGGTTACCATAGTTAGGGCCTTTTTAGATTTAAAATATGCATCATTGTTTTCCTAAGGTGAGTATTTCAGAATTATGCTTAATCTTGTCGTCAAGGTTTTGTTTTTATTTAATGATGACTAAAATGTTTTTTTTTTTTTTTTTCAGGTCAGACTCCCCTCAAGCAAAGACTAGAAGAGATAGAAACTGCAGTAGCTACAGGTGCCACAGAGATTGACATTGTGATCAGCAGAGCATTTGTTCTAGAGGGTAACTGGGAAGCGCTTTACAATGAAGTACAGGCAATGCGCAAAGCTTGTGGAGAAGCTCATCTTAAGACAATTATTGCCACAGGTATTCTAACTTAAAGAAATTATATTTTGGGGAAAGGATACTGCTGTTTTTTACCCGTCTTGAAGGAGAAACCATACACTCCTAAGTAGATGCAACATCATGGTTACGTAGTATCCATGTGTGTTGTCAATAACTTTGATCATATTTGCTGTTTCTGGAAGGGTTGTTGAAAAAAAGCATTAAGTGCATGCGACAATGCTGAAAGGAATTGTGGGTCATTTATAGGTCATGTCCCTTTGACTATAGGATTTCTAGAATATGAAGTATCACAGGTTTGATTATTTAATTGACTTATTAAAAATTCTTTGATAACCAGATACCCAGATTACCTTTCGAGATTGTCATATGCTTATTTTTCCTTTTTTCCAGCAATCTTTGCTAAAAACAGCTACAAAATGTTTTTCTGGTAACCATAACTACTGTTTGTTATTTTAATAGCCTGCTCTTTTGCTCTCTCCCCCTACCTGAGGGCACAGGAAAGATTGTAACAGGTAGCAACACTCCTAGTTGCTTCATGCCCATGAGAGCTCCCAGAATGCAGGCCATTTGGCTCTTTGGGGACCTATAAACCTCAGCCCCTGTTTCTACACTGTGCTTGTAATTTTGCTAATCTCATCAAGATATTCTGTGAGCCTTTTGCAAGAGAGGTAAATTATGCTAGCTCTACAATCTGAAAAATCAATCCCATCAGAAGAACATATTACAGACCACAAAGGATGCTCTTAACCCTTTCGCTGGCAGGTTCCTGGGGACTCAATGTTTTTCTAAGACAAGCCGACAAATCAGGCCACAGCTCATCATATTTTAAGTTCAACCCCAATAAACTATATATCATTTTAATCAGCAAAATATTTACAATTACTTTTATTAAGACTATTTTGTTACATATGGGTCCTTGTGCACATAAATTGGGGCAAGAAAACCCAAGCATTACAAAATGTTTGAAGTGTTTGTTGTTTTTCCTTGTCTACTAAGACAAGGCATTAACATAGTTGTGAGCATAACTGTTGTATTATGCAAAAGTATATTATTTCAGGAACCAAACACTCTTTATTCTGTCCAATTATCTTCATTGCAACCAAAGTTATGCCGTTTACTGTTCGTCAAGGTTCAGCTTAGCAAATTAGAAGGCATGTGATATTGCAGAACTATACTTGAGCAACAACTAGCTAGCTTCACTTGAAATCACCAAAAAAGTAACCATATATAAAGGACACAAAGATCCATAAATAGACAATATGGTAAAAATGGTTCTGTTCTTATAAAAAATTAAACTTCCTTAGCAACCTTCAGGAGTGTTTGCACAGGAAAAAAGCAGTATGAAATCCTATTCCACAATTTTTTCTCTGCTTGATTTGCTTACATGGTGGTCTGAAATCTCCTGCTCACTGGATAAAACCTCATTAGGATCATCCTCTGAGGCAAAAACCTCATTAGGATCATCCTCTGATGCAATTTGCCATGCCTTCTCGACTGGAATCCATGCAGACGCCATTTTTAAAAGGATAGTATTGCGTGTGCAAATTTTTTCGCAAAAAACTGATCAAATTTGGCTGAAAACAGCGAGAAATACGGCTACGAATGAAGAAATGTGACTTGATAAACCATAATAATCTTTACGAGCTCAAAACAATACTATGTGGGGGGTCCCCCAGGATTTTTAATATGGATAGGGTCAGTGTGTATGAATTCATGCGTTTTCCAGTGAAAGGGTTAACCCAATCGCATAATTTGGGCAACCTTACCATGATATGCTGTGAGCCTTCTTAAAAGATTTTAATCATTCTCTGCCCTTATGTTTGATGAGCACTCCGTCTATCAGAAACAAAACATGGAATTTCATGGATTACGTCTGTGGTCAAGCATTTGATCTTGTTGCAGTCAAAGAGACTAGGTTAAAACCGAACAATGATTCTATATAAGCTCAGCTATGTCCTTGTGGTCACTGGCTTTCGGATAAACCTTGGGAGGGTTACTGGGGTGGTTGAACTGCACTCCTTTATAAGGATTCTTTGAAGGTCACCTCATCCAACTGTGGACAGCTAGAGTCATTTGAGTACTCAGAATGGATAGTGTCTCCTTCTGCTTCGAATAATCTAAAGGTTATCATTGTCATTACACATAAGACAAGCATTGGGTTCTTTGCATTGGGGTTCTATAAACCTCAACCCCTGTTTCTACACTGTGGATGTAATTTTGCTAGTTAACCTTGTCAAGATATGCTGTGAACCTTTAGCAAGAGAGAGAAATTATGCTAGCTCTACAATCAGACAAATCAATCCCATTGTTAGAAAATGTTACAGATCACAAAGGATGCTCTTAACCCAATCGCATAATTTGGGTAACCTTATCAACTTATGCTGTGAGCCTTCTTTAAATGATATTAACCATTCTCTGCCCTTATGCTTGATAAGCACTCAATCTATCAGAAACAAAACGGAATTTCATGGATTACATCTGTGGACAAGCATTCGATCTTGTTGAAGTCAAAGAGACTAGGTTAAAACTGAACGATGATGCTATATGAGCTCGGCTATGTCCTTGTGGCTACTGGTTTTTGGCTCAGCCTTGGGAGAGCTATGGGGTTGGTGGAACTGCGCTCCTTTCAAAGGATTCTTTGAAGGTCACCTTATCCAACTGTGTACAGCTAGAGTCATTTGAGTACTCAGAATGGATAGTGTCTCCTTCCGCTTTGAATAATCTAAAGGTTATTATCATCATTACTCATAAGACAAGCACTATCATTGAAAAATTACCCAGGGTGGACCATTACTTTTCTGATTATGCCTCCATTATTTTTGATCTTATAACAATAACAATAACATTTATTATTTGTATTGCACCTTTTCTATAAAATATTCAAAAGCGCATCACAACAGTAATTAATAACTAAAATTATACAATTCTTTCTATAAAAATCGTAAATTATATATATTTATTTACATTAAATTAATGAAAGATAATTTCAAATAAAAATATAGATATACTAAGTTAACTGAAATCATTATCTTAGGATTAAAAGGCCTGTCTCCAAAGTCAAAATGGCCATGTTTAGAAAGCTTAAATCTGTAAGTTAACATGGCTGATCTTCACGACAATCTAGCCTCTTCTGAGTCCTGCACTAATGATTACAGTTAAAGGCATACCGCTGATGACCTGGAAAAGCTGGTTGAATACTAGGGAATAACACTATTCCTTCTGATTAACCATCATGCACCTATCAAGACTAAGAGGTTAACAACCAGGCTGTAACTTCCCTGGTGCACTGACGAGATCATGTTGGCAAAAAGACAAAGACATAAAGCAGAAAAGATCTGGTGAAGGACCAAGTTAACAGTGGACTTCCTAAATTTCAAGAAAAAGAGATTTTATGTCTCCCTTATTATACATAAAGCATGGACAACTTTTTATATGGACTTTGTAGATGACAATAGCTGTGATCTTGGGAAGCTGTGCAGTGGAATGAAAGCACTCCTCACGCCAAAGGATAGTCTCTGTTTTCCTGACTTTTGTGATAATCATGCTCTAGCTGATGACATAGGTGGATTCTTTTGTTGCAAGATCAATAATGTCCGAAATGAACTTGGAATTGTTAGAGCTGCTATGAAAGAAGAGGACAAAGTTAAAGATGATCCAGACCTGTAGTAATGGAGTATTAGTGCATTTATGAGTTTTGTCAGCTCTCTTGTGAAGATTTCTACAGCCTTGTCTAGAAGTCAGCTAAAAAGACGTGTACCCTTGACTCTATGCCAACATCTATGGTGGTAGCCTGCTGAGAGGAACCTCTTCCAGTAATAACATGTTTACTAAATTCTTCTTTGGGATCAGGTCATTTTCCCCCTCTATGGAAAGAAGCTCTTATTGTTCCACATCTTAAAAAATGTGGAAATGATATCTTGTTCTCAAACCTACAACCTGTGAGTAACCTCCAGTTTGTATCAAAACTTGTTGAGTGTGCAGTTTTTTGCATCAGGTTAATGAGCGTATGATGATGTTCCAGCTTTATCCATTACAATCTGCCTACTGCACCAGTCACAGCACAGAGACGGCTGTGCTTATTAGGTGCACAATGACATTCTGTTTAAGCATGGTTATTTAACAGAGGGTCACACTGCTGATACTTCTTGACCTAATTGTGGTCTTTGACACTGTCAATCACTAGGTGTTGCTCAAGCAATTAGAATCTAGCTTTGGAATATTTGGGACTGCACCTAGCTGGTTTAAATCATACCTTGACAGAAGATCTCAGGGCGTCTGTGTTGAAGGCTGCTGCTCTAGGAAGTCTTTTCCTACCCCATGGTATTCCTCAAGGTTCATGCCTTGGCCCCCTACTGCTTACAATCTACACTAGTAAGTTGTTTGAAGACATTAGGGCATGGATGGCGGCAGACAAGACAAAACTGAGGTCATTCTAATTGGTACTAAGCAACTACTTGATTAAGTGAATATTGCATACCTAGAGATCAGTCAAGCATCAGCGCCAATTGTAAGTTCTGCCGTCTGCAACCTTGGTTAGTGGTTTGACTTTAACCTTAAGATGACAGAACAGATTAACAATTAAGACTTGTTAATCAGTCTACTATCACCTACATAATATCAGACAAATAAGGAAGTTCTTGATGCCTGCCTCCACCAAACTGCTTGTACAAGGGGTGATCATGGCATGCATTTCTTGCTGTACATATTGGTCTTCTCTATGGAGTACTAGCTGTGCATCTTTCCAAATTGCAATGTCTTAACAATTCTGCTGTGCGACTTATCACCCATACACCCAGATACTGTACTGTCATATTACCCCAGTGCTACGTGCACTGCACTGATTACAGGTGAAGTTCCGAATTTGCTTTAAAATTGCTGTGATCTCTTTCAAGTCTATTCACAATCTGGGGCCTGCATATTGAACTAATCTTATAAATGTTCCTGGGGAGTAATGTGGACTTTATTTTGCAAGCCCTACCACTAAGTTCAAATGCACTCTTGGGGACAGATCATTCACTCCAGCTGCTCAAAAGATATGGAATGGTTTACTGGACTATATTAGGAAAGAGATTTGATTTTGATATAATGTTTAAGAGATTCATTAAGATACACTATTTTAAAGGGGCCTATGGTGACCTGTCTTAAGCTATTATAGGTTTTTATTTTCCACTTTTATCCTCTCTTTTACATCTTACTTGTTAATAGTTATGCTAGATTACCTATTAGGAAGGAAATTTAACAAATGAGTATATAGAGAGCATGTAATGCAACTTTTGTTATTGTCTTATTTGAGTGTTATGAACATTTGATCATAATTTTTAATGTTAAAATGGGCAGTAAAAGCAATAATGATATATATAAATCTACACTGCATTCCTATGGTAAGCATTCAGTAAAGATATATCTCTTTTTCTTAGGTGAACTTGGCTCTCTGACAAATGTTTATAAAGCTAGTCTGGTTAGCATGATGGCTGGTTCTGACTTCATTAAAACATCAACTGGTAAAGAGTCAGTAAATGCTACATTTTCTGTTGCACTGGTTATGGTGCGGGCAGTCAGGGATTACTACCAGGTACTTTTTATTTTTGTTTATTTACAATGTGTCATAGTTTGCCCAATCATGTTTGACACTAGATAGTAAAAGGCGCAAAGTGTTAATATTTGATTCTGTGTCTCTCAACACAAGCTGTGAAAGATACAGTGTCCTCTGACTAGCTTGCCAGACTCTTGATCAAAAGTCTGGTTTAAACTCTGATGCAATCATTAGGACCTGTTTTTGGGCTGAATACTTATTTCTCAGTGTCTTTTTCTACTCAGAGGTGCATTATCTATGGTTTCTGGGAAACTGTCAGACAAACCTGATAAATGCTGAGGGTAACTTGTGATTGATAAGCATTCCATCAAGGAGGAATAGAGTTACCAGTCATGTACATGTACTTTAAAAGAAAAAAAAAGGAATTAGCAGTGAAAGTCATGGGCTAATAGGCATACATAATTCACAGAATCTCTATTTAGGCCTTCAAAATGTTGCAAGATTACAAGGTGGATTAATGACTTAGCCACTTAACTTCCCAGGTCTGGTTAATAACCTATAGATTGAAACATTCTACTCTGACCTAGGAACTTAATTGTAAAGTTACCTTCCCCCATTCCCCAATGATATATATATATATATATATTTTTAATCCTTAACTATTTGCTAGATTATATATTTAAATGGTGAGGACTGCATTTTACAAGAATCAATATTGGAAGGAGAAAAGGTTGATATAATTGCCATCATTCCAGATCGCTATAATAGAAACCAGTACTTTTGAAATGAAAGTGAACAATGTTAATATTGCTGCAAGAACTTCTCAAGATCTCCAGTGAGGGTGTAACATTGATATACTTAATGAGACATCATTTGGTATATGGGTATAGCAGTGTTTTTTTTCTCCTAATTTTTTTTTTTAAATAGAAAACAGGTCACAAGGTAGGCTTTAAGCCAGCTGGTGGAATCCGCAGTGCTAAAGATGCTCTAACATGGCTCTCTCTGATGAAGGAAGAACTTGGAGATGATTGGACAAGACCAGATCTCTTTAGGATTGGTGCCAGTTCACTGCTGGGAGACATAGAGAGGCAACTCTTCCACTTTGTAACAGGAAGGTTTGTTACAATTTTCATTTTGTGCTTAATTTGAAATTAGTGGGGCTCCTATTAACTATACAGGAGAAGGGGGAATAGCAGATACTTTTATCATCGAAAAAGGTTTATAATTAGTTTTCAGGTCTCTTTGATTTTTCTTTTTCATACCAAAAGGTTTTTACATGTCACATGTTGAAAGGAGGTTTGTCAACTTGTTTCTCTTTTGTTGCAGACATTGTGTCTGTTGTGGTTCAAGTTTAACTTTTTCAGTTTAAATGTAACATTACTGCTCAATACTTCCTGTTTCAAACTGATGATGGACATTACCTTACCACATACCTTCAGTAATATTTGCCTTTCTGATATGTTGTCCTAGTTCATTTAATAAAATAATAATGAATAATAAATAATATTAATAATGATAAATACATAATTTGAAGCTCCCCCTTAAGGGCTTTTCAGCCAGAATGTAAGCTAACTAAGTGCCTAAAAATCCCTGCTGGCAGGAGGCAGACCAGTGAGCTATTTACAGAGGGCAGCCGAGGAGTTGAACTAGGGGCAAGCGAGAACAAATCCAGTGAGTGGCAGGGTGGAGGACTTGAACCTGGGACGCCGGATTACAAGTCCAGCACCCTAACCACTTGGCCACGCCACCTCCAGTACAAACATGATGTTGGATTTAATTGTTACACAGTGTAGATCGTTAGCATTAGTCGAACTTAAAAGTAAACTATTTCCTATTAAGTAAAGCAACTTACAGTCATTATTATATTTGATTCAAGTCATACGTGTGCGATAATATTGTATATAATTATCTGCTTGCATTTTATGTATTTTTCTTAGCAGGTAGTTTTTATGTGCCAATGATTTCTTTCCACCCTTATAAAGTCTTTTGAGAATTAAACAGTAATTTAAGTCATAGGTTGTTTATATTTTCCTGTTTATTTCACAGTCACAGTGTACATTTATTTACTATCAAATAACTCGTGTTGATCCTTGAAAAAAAAAAATTTGGAAGAGGTTTTTTTACTTAAAAGTAGGTGCCAGTAATGCCCCTTGTAGTAACTTTTTTTATTATTTTACTTTGTTTAGATATGCTGCTCAACATGAAATACCCATGGCATGATGAATGGTACATTTAGGCTTCACAGTGTTAGAGGATACAATGGATATTTTAAAGGGAAAGGACTGAATTATTCTTTGACATAATGTAATTGGACAAAATGCATTCGCTTGAAGAAATATTATACACACTTATGGAAAAGGCCAATTTTTCATCAGAATTTTGAATAAATATGGTTTATTGACAAAACTGCCTTCAGTTAGTTGCATTAAGATGTTAAAATTGGTAACATAAACACACACTACCCAACTTGTTTTATATTCTCACTTAGAGACTGAAAATGATTTTCTCCATTTTTTATTGGCAAGTTATTGCAAAAGTTAGGTAAAAGCAGTGGAAAAGTATGTGTAAAATCATATCCCTACAAATAATGCCTTTCAACTTGTTCTTGGAATCTGTTTGTGAAAAATTTGGGCTCAAACATGCCCTTGAGAGCCTCTATAGTAGTTTGTGACTTAAGGTTAAGCCTTTGAATTTTAATCTTGGTTCCCAGGATGAAAATGTTATTCAAGGTAAAAGAAAATATATTCTTATTTCCTGAAGATCACTTGATTTGCAGCTCTTTCACTGTTGAGATATTGTAGTATTAATTGTTTATGGCAAAGCAAACTCGACAAAAGGTGAGATGAGTATTAAGTTGGTCAGAAAATAAAATTGTTCTGGTTACTGACAGAAATAACTTTCTGTAGGTGATTAGTAAATCACTGCACTTCTATTTTCTTATGTAGGGCGAAGAGTGTGATTTTGTCAAGCTGTGAGGTCCTTTTTTCGATCTATCAGTGGGCGTGCGCCTTAAAATGTTCAACGTTAGTAACGCAGCGCTCCGCACGTTGCGTGACATCCTTTGGTGGACTCCCAGTTGAAACAATCTAAAGAAACACTAGTCACGTTGTACATTACTAGTGTTACACACAAACTGAAGACAAAACAGAGGTCAAAACAAGCACCAATCAATAAGGGATTGAGAGAAAGGATGCGTCACAGCCATCCGGAAGAATTGTCGACTGCTAATTGCTTTTATTTGCCGCTACTCGCCAAAGCATGATGAACACAGCGGCACTTATTATCTTGGCCGATATAGTTGGCTGGGGTTATTTTTTGTCTTGGACTGTATCGTTTTTTCCACAAATCTATGAAAACTGGAGGCGAAAATGTGTGGTTGGCTTTTCATTCGACATGTGGGCCTACTTCTTTCTCAGTTACATTACTTACTTGATTTACAATGTGACGGTCTATTTCGACCCGGAGACAATCATGGCTAATTTAGACGAAGATAACCCGGTTAAAATGACAGACGTGGTATTCTCTATCGTAGCATTTGCCTGTACGAGTTTTCAGGGTATACAGTGCTTGATGTACGATCGGGGATCACAGGAAATTAATCGTAGCACAATCGCCATTTGCGCTGGTTGCTTACTGGCCCTCTTGGTATTAACTGTTCTCAACCTTTTTGGTATCCTTAGCTCGTGGTTTTTAGTTCTTCAGTACTGTGGATATGTTAAGTTGGTCGTTTCATTTGGTACGGTGAGTACAAATAAATTGTGGACAACTATTAAACGATTCCACCGTTCCTAATTTTGTCATTAATAAGATCGTTGAAGATAATCTACAGGTCCATGCTTGAACCGTTCTGCATTTTTCATAACAGATCTAGTTCCGCTTGGTAAATTGTAGGATATATATATATATACAAAAACAGGTGGGATATGTAAATTTCAGAAGTAATATTTACAATGTAGGCGTTATTATTGTAATTGAGGCCATGTGGTCTGGCTCGACGATATCCAATATCTTGCATAATGAATGACGCAATGTTGTGTTTGAACAAGACGAGCCAGACGTGGCGTAGAGGGGAGGGAGGTCATGGAATAAATTTTAAGCAATCACTGATTTCACGTGGAGCAGGCTGACTGAGGGTGGCTTATTACTCATTCACTCCTGCATATATAAGAATGTGCCCCTTATTTCTGCAGTGTCACTATTTTTATTTATTTATTGATTTACTGCGGCTTGATTTGACTTGACTTTTCTCTAAAGCCTGTCAGAATGTGTTTATAAATCTTTCAAAGAATGAGATTCTTTCTGCAAAGCATCATAATCCCCATAATGCCCCAAGCTGTCAATTAAGAACTTTTCTGGAATACATAAATTTGTGACTTATTGTGTACATGTTTATTTTAGTATTCGCCTCAAGTGTGGCTTAACTTCAAACGTAAATCCACAGAGGGATTTCATATTGGTGGAGTGTTGCTAGATTTTGGAGGAGGTGTACTTAGCCTGTTGCAGATGGATCTTTACTGCATCATTGAACACAGCAATGATCAGCTGACAGGGAACATTCCTAAGATGGCGTTGGCTGTTGCCACACTCTTATTCAACATCATCCTCATATGGCAACATTATGTGTTCTATTTAGGAAATGAACACAGTTCTAGTGAGAAAAAACCTCTATTGGGCCGTGAAAGGTCAAATGAGTTTTACACAGTGAATGTCAATGCTGAAGATGGAGATTATCTTGTGATAAATTTACAAGATCCAGAGGAGGTGAGCACAGCCCGACGTGCAACTGGTTCACAGGAGTCTTCGGTGTAGGATTTTTTCCAAAAAAGGGGAAGAGTCAGTCCCAAATGTTCTTTAGTACAGTAGTTAACTCTGATTTTAATGGGGCTTCATCTGTTTTTACATATGCGCACTTGTCAACAAATACAATTAATAATTTGATAACCTATTGTACTAGTTTTATCTGTACCTGAGATGTTTTATTTATTGAATTTTTGTACAAAGTAATCTTTAATTGTTGGAATTGAAAGTGCGCCTTTAAATTAAATAACATGAAACTTAATTGGAAAAAAGTCAAGTCTGAGTGCTAAAATACTAGGGAGTGTTATTGTATTTTGTAACTACTGTACAAACATTCTTCCAACTTACATACAGAGAAGTCAAATTCTGGAAAGCTGGTTCCTGGAAATGTTTGATTCAGGATTACACCACATCCCAACCACCAAGTTTTTACTTGTGATCCAAAATTGAAAAAAAAAAAATTGTGTAAAAATTCTATAACCTGCATACATAACATTTTAATAGGAATGTTTAGGAAGTTAAAAGGAATTGAAACTTTCCTAATTATCATAAGTGCAAAAATATTTTTGAAGGAAAGTATTGGTCACTACAACTGGTGAATTTCTAGGGGATGCTTCCCAAATGTTGGGATTTAATCTGTAAATGAGTTTTTGGTAAGTAAGTGAGACATTAAATATATTGTAAACACCTGATTTGTATAAGTATTTTCATCAACTCTGGGGATTTTTATGATTAAATATTTATTGTTAAATAAGAGAAATGCACTGAATGTAATGAGCAGATTTGATGTTTAGGCTTGGACCACAATCTTTAAACGATGCAAAATATAACAGTGAGAGTATGGAAGGCACAAAAATACATGCAAATCTTTGTCACTCACAAAAATCGTGTTAAATGGATACAAAATTATCTTAGAATTAACAAGTAAAATCATTTTAAAAGAAACTTACAGTAGAATCCCAATTTCTTGAACCCTTGGTTTCTCGAACCTCCTGATATCTCGAACCAAACCTTGTTTCCCTTGGTTTTCCTTCACTTGTAATTTCACCCCCGATTTATCAAACTCCGAATTTCTTGAACCAATTTGGGTTTCCCCTGGAGGTTAGAGAAATTGCGATTCCACTGTATTTTAATTGTTATTGAACTCCAGAGCTCCTTACCCTCTTTTTTTTTTTCTGGAAGGATATGCGATGATAGTTCACAGCACTGAGGATAATTGAACAGAGCATCCAATTTTCTAAAGGTGTTTGATGATGATATACTGATAATGATAATATATCCATGACAAGGTTTGAATGATGAAAAGGAATTTGTACTATGATGCTGCTATGTACTATGATAGAAGCATTTTCAGTTAAACATGTTTCATGTTTAGCTTATCTGTTATGGAAACACTTTTGGGTTTAATGATTAATGTATTGCAATTGTCTTCTGATTTTCTGATTACTAGTGAGGTGGTTTTCTTTATAAGCATCTGCTTCCATGAATTTTAAACAGTTAAGAGAATTCACATCTTAAAGTATGACTTTTTGCCCTATCAGGTTGTAGAATTAACTCTGACCTCTTAGGGGATTTTAGACTAAGCATTTAATTTCTCCCTATAATGCTAACCACAAATCAAACATTAAGGTCATCAGAATAAAAGAAATGATCACCAACTAGATAAGCATATGATTGATGAACAAATTTCTTCGTCAGCACCTAAGAAGTGCCCTTATGATGAACACTATGGAAAATATGCATACTGAGGGTAATGAAAATAAAAGAAATGATCACCGACTAGATATTAGCATGATTGGTGAACAAATTTCTTTTGTCAGCACCTAAGGAGTGCCCTTATCATGAACACTATGGAAAATATGCGTACTGAGGTTGGGGTGTAAAGGGTTAAGTGGAGCGTACAATTACTTTGAAAACTCATTTCATGGCAAATTGGGCACAAAGAAATGCTCGTAAAAGGTAGTAGTAGCTAGGTAACAAACTGACAATTCTCGTCCCACAAGGGCCAAAATTTCATAAGGAAAAAGTTCTCGTGGAATTTTCACCGATATTTTAAGATTAACTATCATTTTGATTTGTTGTTTACTTCGATTAGCACCGGTCCTTTATAAAGTTTGTTTGTTATTTTTAGCTTTGAAGTTTGATTGGTTATTCTAATTGATAGCAGACCAGAAGCTCGTCAGCTCGCGCAGTAGACTAATTTTAATTTCATGCAAAGTTGTCGTAAAAATTTCTCATTTTCTTTTTTCCCAGTCTACAAACCTGTCAAAAATCTTGTCAAGATACTTTTTGTGGTCCAAGAATCCTCTTAGAGCCATAATTAGTGCCCACTGAGTTCAAAACATTTTATTAGTCGCAGTCTCTTGGGATGCTTTCCTGACACCTCTTCAACAATACTGCTGCAGGTCTGATATTATGTTGTCATCCGTTTGCCACATGTCTTTATGTCGGGCCAATTGTCGTAACTCTTTTGTCCTGGAAAGAACCGTTAATTGGTAGTCAAAACCGTTTTATGTGAGGAGGCTTACAGACATTTTCGCAATCGCTTGGAAGTGAAGGTAGAAGATTTTTTCTTTGTAATGATTGGAAAATTCATAACGGCAAGAAAAGAGATTTCGATGTGGAAGGTGTTCGTGGCTTCGCCTAGTAGTGGCTATGACATGGAAGATCTACAGAAGTGCTTGATGTCACGGAATATTGACTCAAACAGAGAAAAAGACAAGAGAACTGGCGAAGAAATGCCAGAAAGAGGAATATCTGACGGATATTTTACGACAAAGGATCCTCAAGTAGCGACATTCAAGGAATTTATAAGGAACTCTCCAAGAAGGCCGAGCAACCATAAGTCTGAAATACTTGTGGAAGGAACTGCACTCAACTATAACAACTTTGTTCAGGACTCAGATGACGCTTACATAACTGTTTGCATGGAGTCCGGTCCAAAAGGACAGAACGTTTGTTCGAGCAAACACGGTTGTAAAACCGGCACGAACACCACTCAGGGCGAGAGCAGTTTATTTAAACTAAGTGCGAGTACGTTATCTGACCGCGGGGATCAAGAGAATGAAAGTGGAGTGAATTTATTAAGATCACCTAAAGCGGCACCAAGGAGCCTCAACCCAAGTCCTTGGAAGGAAATCTGGTCAGTCTTCCAGGACAGGAGTTTAACAAGTTGCCTTTCGACCAGGAACATGGAATTTGGGCGAGACATGACCGAGACACCATTTTCGACAAGGACTAATCCGTACAGCCGGCCGAGGAAGGACAAACCTCAAAGAATACCGCCGTTGTATAACACAAGAAAACCATTTCCAACAAGCCGAGGGAGCAAAGAAAAATTGCCTTCTTTTGACGATGCTGTTGTGTCTCGTACCGTGTTGAAAGAAGCGAGACGCGACAAAGGTAACGGGAGGCCCAAAGACATGAAATGCGAAGAACGCTTGGAATTAAAAGGGACAAAAGATAGCAACATTAAAAAAGAAACTTTTGAAGGCGGCAACACATGCAGAAGATACGAAAATAATTGTGAGAAAGAAGGGACTGCTATTCTCCCGGACAAAGCCTATCCACCGGCGTTAAAACGCTATAGGAGCAAGTTTCGGGTGTGGCTACTTCCTCTTGTTACGAAGAGCGATTCGCTCCCCAATCTGACATCGTCATCCACTTCGGTGCCCCCGGAGCTCATCGTGACTGCACCGATGAACGTTGCACGCCCTAACGAAAATGACGGAAAGACAACTTTGGTCGTCAGCGAATCACAAGTGGTAAATGAATTCAAGAATAATCGCTCGATGTCGCTTGATTCAGTTTTCTCCTTGGAATCTTTCGTTGCTTACCAGGCAAATGAAAGTTTAAGTAAAAGAATAAATGTGAAAGGCTTCCAAGTCTTACCAGACATAAAACATTCCAAGTCAAATGAAAGGAAGCCGACAATGAAGAAAGCCAAAGACGAAGGTCTGAATGTTACTCAAATGCGAAATGTCATCTCACTTCCTTAGAAGTGCACTTGATCACTACAGACCCTGTGGCAAAGCGAAGAAAAAGCTTCTTAATTCTGAGCTTTCACAAGTCGTTTGTTTATCGATCGTGAGTGTGAGGGAAAAGCATGTGATCGAAACAAAAACGTGCATGTATAAGAGACAAATTAAATCTTTCAAAGTAATCTAAGAATAGGTTGACCATCGGTTGTAGGGACAAGGAATCCTTCGAGCGATAAAGTACATATAGGTCCCATATTTATGTCTCTTTTTTTTTTTTTTTCCCTTCGTTTCAACATAAATTTATGTTCTTGAGTCCGTGGTTGTCATCGTGATTTGTTTGATGAGGCTCTTTGCAATACTTTCACTCTGCCAAAACAGCCCAGTCGGCTCATATCACTGATGTATACATCATAGCTTAAAGGTTTATTATGATGATGATGATGATGATGATGATAATGATGATGATTATGATTATTATGATTATTATTTTTTTTTATTTCGGTCAAAATTTTTCAGAATAACCGTTGATTTCTCTTTCCATAATTTTTCTTGGAATGAATTGATGGTTTATTCCTGCCTTATTTAACTTATTGTAGTACTATATGGAATTGTTGTAAAGCTAGTGATTCTAGAAAATTAGAGAGGGTACAGGAACGGGGCCTTAGGGCTGTTTGCTGTGATAGCATATCATCATATGGCGATCCACTTGAAAGGGCCAAATTAACAACCTTATATAAAAGAAGATTACACGATATAACCGTGTTAATGTATAAAGTTAAAAACGATCTGTGCCCTAATAATTTTAAGAACTTGTTTGACAATAATAATAATAGATATAATTTAAGAAACAATGATTTCATTATTCCCAGAGTAAGCCCAACACGTTATGGTAAGCACTCTCTTAGGTACTTAGGTCCAGTAATCTGGTCTAAGTTAGATGGAAAAACAAGAACGGTAAGAACGCTACAAGAATTTAAAAATGCCTTACATACATTAGATATACAAAGTTTATTTTCTTCGGACAATTGCAAGAACTGTATTTTATGTAAATCTTAATATTCTATATTATCATTATTGTATTTCTAATCTTTTAGGTAATTTTAATTACACAGGGTAGGGTATTACATATACATAGGGTCAACTATACGGGGCAGGATTGCATATATTATGCGTTTTATATACATTAGATTACTTTAGTCTGTGTCCTTATTTAGTGGGAAACTGCTATTGATTCGACACAATAAAGCTTATTATTATTATTATTATTATTATTATTATTATTTATCTGTCACACTCGTTTCGAATATCTACAGTGTAATAGTAGTTATGGGAGAACCGTTGATTTGTTGTATTCCAATCAACGATACAGCCGGAGCACTTCCTCTTTAAATTGATGTAAACATTTTGATTGAGATCAGAATGATGTTTAATTGTGAATTTCTCAAGCAGGCAAGGCTCTCTTAACTGTAACTTGTAACTGCCTCGGAATTTCAGATTTGATTGATGCTGCTACTCGAAGAAAATAAAATTACTCATTCTGGACTTTGTTTATGTTAAAACAGAAGGACAAATTTTGAGAGCAGGTGTTTTCAAATTCGGCCGAAGAATGAATAAATTATCAAAATTTCAACCATCGCTGGCGGCTGAAGATGTCTTTGTCTTGTAAACATTTTGATCCCAGTTGTTACCAGCCTTAAGTGTTTTTCTATTTTTGTCGAGAAGTTCAAGGAAATATGGCTCAGACGGATTCAAAGCGCGATAAAATAAAATCAGGGAGTAATAAGATCTCGATGCTACCTTCTGTCAAGATTAAAAGTAAACAGACCCAAGATAGAACAAATTGTTCCAACTCTGACGACGTTAAAAGTGTCAGGGACTTGTTCATCTTTGGTGAGAAGCATTGCGAACCGAAATCATTCAGCAGAATGGAAGCTTGGATCAACGAAGAATGCAGTAATGTAAAACGAGTTAAAACTGGGCGCTTTCAACAGACTGGCAACTTCCTGAGGGATCTAAAAATCGAAGCGTCCAATAAGACAAGTTATAAGTTTGTTCCTTCTCCTGAATTCAAGCCGGGAAGTTATTTTCTGCTGCCAGAAAACTCTGATGATATTGAGTACGACGCTCTGCGATTTGACCGATGCGTTCCCTCATACACTTACGTCAAGCCCTCAAATCAGTTATGTAGGAATAATATGAGAAAAGCATTTTGCGAGGTTATTGGGAAAGACTTGTGTATTGACTGCAATGGTGGTAAACTGAGGCAAAGATTCAATCACAAAATGGATACCTTGTTCCCCTGCCTTGGATATGACAGGGATAAAAGACCTTATGGATACTGTCCAAGGTCGATACGTCTTACAGAGCCTTTGCCGTCAAGAGTAGAACGGCGACCAAACAACCTAAATTTATATGGAAGATACCGTAATACAACAAGCAGGAATGTTCTTGGTTTTGAACCAAATGATTATGATTATGATGCGCCGATGAAAAAATTTTCAATCAAAACTCGACCGTACACGAGATGAATATAAACAACTTCAGAAGAACGGAAATTCTCAGGCTCAGATGAAAATGACAACGGAAGAAATATCTATTTGGAATTGATTTGTTTCTAGGATCTAAGAATCATTTCATTCCTTGTAAATGTATTATCATAGATAGAATTGTGTCTCTTTTCCATAATTCTACGGACTAGTTTTCAAGGGTTCTAATTTTTGAGACAACATAAGGGTGTTGCTAGGCTGAAAGATGGCCTGGCCATCGAAGCCCGCGGTAGTGACGAGTGGGTCAGTGATTGACTTTTTAAACAAATTTAGTGTCTGCCGAAAATTCATTAATCTTGCCAAGGTTTATATGACTTATATGTACCGATCATTTCTGAGTCGGGTAAGACGTAAAATTGCCTCAGGTGACTGTATGGGTTACTGGCCCAGATACTGTTTGACAAAGAAATATGTTATTCATTCTTTGCGGGCCTGAAATCTAGGTAGTCCAAATCAACTACGTTATAGAAAAGCTTCACATACCTCATGCGTCTTACGTATTGCGAGGATTAACCACATGATTTTCTTTATTTGACGGTGGGGTTCAAAATGAATCATTTAACCTTTTCTGTAGAAGTTTGCGCATAATTGGGCAAAGAATATCTCGAGAATATCGAACAAATGGCCACATATTACCTAACTTTGAGTTAAATTTGCACATGACTGACGAAAATTTTAGTCCTTTTCAAGTGTTGTCTAGATGATGTTTAAGGTTTGAATTTTGGATTTTCATTAAACGTTGTGCTTGTTAATCCTTCTGGTCATTTCCAATAATTAGTGAGCGTGTCAATGATACTAGATACGTATATTTTTGTTGGTCGCGGAGATCAGGAAACAACAGTAGAGTATGTGATAGTAAGATGAGGTATCCGACGCAAGAAAAAAGTTTGTCTATTAGTTGCAGGAGTTTTCACAAAAGGGATCGGCTTGCGTTAAATGGCTGTACTGACAAGGTTACTGAAGACATCACTCTCTTTGCTAATTATGCACTGGTGTTATCTCTCTTTTATTGGATAGCCCTCATATTTCATATTTCGTTTAATCCTTGAAGTGTCACACAATCAGTCAATTTTGCCGCCCAGGTTTGAATAATAGACTGAATGACCAGGCATGAACTTTGACCAAGCTCAATTTGATCACATCTTTTTTTTCATTTAGTAAGTTCTAATGAGGTTGAAACTATGCCACTGAAGAAACAAACAGAGGCATGTCCTTACTCCTACTCTTTTTGAGACCAGAACCACACGATCTCTCAAAGTGTCATTGACTGTTCATTAAGCTAATGTCAAACCATTAATGATATATGCAAATAATTCAAAGAATCAAATTCAATTGTTCTCAGCCACAACGACTGGCTATTTGTTTTCCATAATCAAACCATGACTCGTATTGTTACCCGGCAACACTTCGTTGCATTCGCACGTCGGTAGTCGTGACAGTAAAGTACTTCACTCGCAGATCGATCTTTTTCTCCTTTTCATGGCCTACAAAGGTAGCCGTTTGTGTACGCTACAAGATGTACAAGACATATGGAGGCCCTGTACCTCTCAAGTGGATTGTCAACACAAGTAAGTGGCAACGCATTGAGTTAAGTTTTGTGTTGACTCAAATTTCTCATCGTATATCAACGAAAAGCTGATGAAAATGTCGCTGTTACTCGGGAGAAAACTTAGTCCTCCTACGGGTGTTTGCAATCACTTGGTAGCAGGGTCCCAGCAAACGAGGTTACTAGTTATTAGATAGTTCGAAGTTGGGTCGAGAGAAATTTGCGATCGAAATGTTTACCAGGTTGGAATTGTGATATGGCTATACTGATTGCGACTGATTTCAAACAAAGAAAAGGTCAGCCAGCGCAAGATGTTAAATAATTCACCGTATGTGCTCTTGTGTTTGTGCTCCAGTGTTTCTGTCACTTCCAGAGTTGAACTAAGAAATTAGCAGGGACCGACGATGCGTTTATTTGAGGAGGAATTTGGTAAAACTGTTTTAGTATTTCAGAAAATTCAAAGACAAACGAAATGGAACGGAAACGAAGAATCTTTTCTGTTGGCCATGATTGATGGGTTCTTGAACAGAGTGCTTAAACGACCAATTTAGTAATCATTTGGTTCGAAGGTGAAACTATATTCATCAACTCATTATATCATGTCTGAAAGTCGAATATACAACTTGATTAGAGCGACTTGTGCCCTTCTAAAGTGGCTCTTAGAAAAGATTTCGGAATTTTCTAAAACGTAGAATTTAAGCACCTGGATGGCAGATGTGTACATTGTTTCCGCGAAAACTATTTTGTACCGTGGTTAGGATCAAATTTTAATTTCAGAAGGAAAGGAATACCTGTACCTTGACGCGCTTCAGTCAATCAAAGTAGCTCTTACATGACCGGTTCTCTTGGTTGCGCTTTAGATAAATTCCGTCTCAATTGTGTAATAATTTAACCTTATATTCTTCAGGGTGTACCTCAAAACTGTCACAGTAGCCTTTGACAGGAACAAAATCTTTGAAGTGCCACACAGTCCTAGCAAATGTAGGCCCATCGAGCACACTCTGGCAAAAGAGACAGAAGCATCAAAGATGGATTATTATGCTTCAATGACAGCACCAAGTGATTATCGCCAAACCGCAAACAACTATCGCGATTATGTCACTCCAACCAGCGCATGCGCACTGGATGACACTCGGTCTGTCCTTTCCAACTCAGAGGCTTCTCTGGATAGAGTTCCTAGAACGAACATCTTATCTCGCATGGCAAAAACAAAAGCGTCTTGGGTAGAAAATCAGAAGATTCATGAATCTTTACCGCATAGGAAGAGTCCAATACTCTGCAAAGGTAGTCCGGTTGGAGGTCTTCCACAAACGCCGTACACGGAAAAAACGCTGTCTACAGATAGGGCAACAAAGGGAGTTCGAGACGGGAAGAAGTTCGATCTATTACCAATATCAAAATATCTGGCCCACTATCGAGACGAGAGGAATTTCAGAATGGAAAAGTTACCTTTAGTTCGCATCAGTTCCTATCACACTCTGTGTGGTTGCTTGGACGGCTTAGGGTCGTGGGATTGTCCACAGCAAGAATATGAAAAAGAAAAACGACAAACTGCGACATTCTTTACGACAAAGGACGTATTTAAACCTTTCCATTCAAGATTGTTACCCACCAGGGGAGAGGTTTTATATGTGGAGCCTGCGCAGACGAAGTTAAATTCTTATTTCACAGATCACGTCAAGTTACCAAGTCTCCAAGGAAACAGCAGGAACGATACTTTTGTTACTGAATTTACTGAGAGGTCCAAAGCTAGCTACAGTAGATTCAAACTCAAAGGAAATACTACTTTTCCCGTTATTGTCCACTAGTTTGCACTGAAACTGGAGTTTCGGTACGTCAGCTGAGCAAAAACGCTCGATTAATTCATTTATGTGTTATTCCCTAAAGTCAAAAAGCAAATTTGGAGTATATGATACTGAAAATCTACAAGGTTGTAAATCTTTCTGGTTGCAGAGCTATTCGAAAAGAAAACTAGACAGAACTTTCCAAGAACGCTGCTGAGGAATAATGAATAATGACAACGACAAGGGAGTCTCTGGGTTTAAAACGTATAACGTTGAGTATTTTCTGGATTCTTTTGCTCCTCATAGTTGACCTTATCGTTCTTTACACCTTATCCTTCCCAAACTTATTCTGCAAGGTTTCTTTTCACTACTATTTGCATTTCGCATCCTTCAAGTACCTTTCATGTGATTTGAATGTGAAGGGCCTGTAATGTCTTACCATATTTGGTTATTGAAGTCTCATTATAGAAACGTATTGGGGGGTTGTTCCGGAGCGATTAATGGGAGTGTGCAATAAAGAACGGTACAGAGCCTTTTATAACAAATCGACAGTGGTGTACTCTTATCGACAAAGATATTCGTCATCACAGTGGTCAATACTTTGCGAAATTACAAGGTGCACACTCGGTGTATAGGTCCGTGCGTTTGAAGGTGCCTGCGAAGGTGCCTGCGTACGTGCGTACATGCGTGCGTGCCTGCGTACGTGCGTAGGTACATGCGTACATGTGTGCGTAGGTGCGTACGTGTGTGGCTTCACCATTTTCGATTGTTATTTAACACAATATCGACATCAAATAAAACGATTCTTTCCAGTGCCTGAGAAGTTGCGTGACACCTTTGTCTGTACTCATGTCGACAACGACAAATTGGCCAATCAGATTGCGACATTATTGCCAATTGTGATAAAATTTCTGTTCTATGAATTCCGACCTCTTTTCATCTTCAACACTCCTACGTTTACGAGAACAATTAAATGTTGATTTTATCTGATATCTTTTTTTTTCTATGGTGAGATCAGCCTCGTTAAAAAGAGACCCAAAATCTCAGTTGTAAAATTTTGAAGGGGGCATAATACTAATTTTGAGCTGAGAAGTTTACTTCCTCATACTTCTTAGTTAAGGTTTTATTAGTTAGTTCAAGAATTTTTTCCTTCAGACAAAGTTTAAATACTTTTTCTTATACTTTTTGTGTTGTTTCAGTTTTGGTAAACGCTTGGATCGGTTAGTCATTGTTGTACGACAATGTTACGAGTACTATTTTTTATGTTCATATTGAGAATTTGTCATAAGTTAACTCACAATATGATAAGGTTTTTTGTAATTATTCTCACATAAAAATCATCCAGTTTTTATAGGTTAAATAACGATCCTTTCAGGAGAAGCGACCCAGGACTTTACCAACCGCCCTTAGATGCATTCTTTCTTTGTCTGATTAATCTCGCTTTTTCATTCGTTAAACCGTTCTGGTCTCGTGATAAACCTTAAATGAATTGTTTTCACTAACTCCTCTATTTCCTTTATCTTTTTCTCTTCTTTTTCTTCTTTTTCCTCTAAACGCAACAACCTACTGCACCTTCTTATATAGTTCCTTACAATCTTTCTAGAAGATTTCACAGATTTACAATACGACTATTTTTAGTAACATTACATCATAGAATTTTCCAGAATTTACGGTAAACAACTCGAGTTTCCATAAATAGACGTCACGTACTCATGTCGAAACCACTAGAACTTTCCCAAAGGACTAATCAAGAATGTTCTGGAAATCATAGGATAATCGATAAACGTGCCAAATAACATGTCTTCTGTCCACGTTCTTTTCACTGCCAAGAAAGGCTCGTCAATCATTTGAATTTTTAATGAACCAAATCACCTTCAATTTGAATACGCTATCGGCCCAAAGAATTATTCGTAACTTTGTAAATCCGTGTCAACTGTCTTGCTACCTGTCCCTGTATACTCTTTGGTGTCATGAGTTCGGAAACTATCTCTTGGGTAAAATCATGTTATTGACTGCTTCATGTCTAGTCAACATTCTGGACCAGCTCACCATTAGTAGAGTAATATTTAATTCATCTACGTTCCTTAATAATTATCACACTTTCACCATTGCGAGAAAAGTTACCCGCTAAATGGAATCTACGGATTTTAGTTGGGTAGCAAATGAGGTAAACTTTTATCGGCAAAATGGCATTTGCGGCAAAGGAAATCAAGTAGAGTCTGAAAGAAAAAAATCGAAAGATAACTCAAGCCATGTTGGAGATGGTTAAGAACCAACATGATCACGCTCTTCATTAAATAAATTTGACTGCATGAGCTTGAATTGTGGTATTGACGATGCAAAACAGAAGGGTGCCGATAAAGTTCGGGACTCAACAGAGCCGGGATTCCTTAAAGGATAACCAGAGTATAAAAGCCTTAACTACTTAACTGTCTTTCGAAACGATTGAATTTTCATCGCTTCTAACCAACAATTTAGTCCTTTGTGAAGCCTGGAACCATCTGCGCGAGGTGAGCGAAGATGAGGTCTCTAATTTTTTCGGTTTAGTACTCCTCGCGGGAAATGGAAACAGCTTTACCAAGATACAGGGAAGAAACACATTCTTCCCACTCTAAGAGGGAAGGCCTCAAGACTTTGGAAGAGTCAAAATCCAGAACTATTATAAACGATAAGGTAATAATTCAACACTCAAAGGACGTACAGAGCAAAATAAACAATGGTAATGCGAAGACAGGTGAATCTTTACCGTTGCTTAAAACACCACGACAGGCAAGGGCCCAAAATTTATGTGGAAATGCACGTAAACTCGAAGCTAAACCAGGATCTACAAGCAATGAAGAGGAGATAGGAACTGTCACTGGCAGGAAACTCACAAATTCCATGTCTTCTGAGGTTCACAATTTAAGGAACTTTCTACCACTTTTGACGCTGTGCCAGTGCCCTGATTATGATTCAGCCATCATAGAAGTTGTTCGGGATTATAATGATCCTTGTCACCGCGTCTCTCCACATACGTTCACGTCTCATTGAGAATGTAAATCTAACTATTAAAGTTTACTTCAGTGTGATCTGAAATAATTCGCACGATTTCAAAACTTGTCCAGCGCACAGTTCCATGGAATGTAGACCAATGTGGTCCACATACGTTCACGTCTCATTGAGAATGTAAATCTAACTATTAAAGTTTACTTCAGTGTGATCTGAAATAATTCGCATGATTTCAAAACTTGTCCAGCGCACAGTTCCATGGAATGTAGACCAATGTGGTCAGAAATCATTGGTGTAATTACATTTGAACGAGCTGGTAGCTTCACTGACACAGATCTAGAATTGCGTGTCACATATTTCAGTACACATCAATCCTTCTTGAAACATATCTTAGCCTCGTGCCTCTTGCATGCCTTTTGTCAAGATTTTAATGATCCAGTAGCAATAATAAGAAAGGAAAAAAAATGATTTGAGTTCTAAATAAATCGCACAGTAGAAATCTGAAATCTGTTTGTATTTGTTTTTCGCTGGGGAGAGGGTTCGAATGAAGGCAAAAATTAGTGCGACTCGTTAATAAATCCCTCTCCAGAGAACCAGTCAGAATGCTCGAATACCAGCGATTTAAAATATGGATGTACTAATGACAAACAGTTACTTTGAGAAAATAAAACATTGCTCGGCTTAAGTGGACGGTTGTAATACCATATCATGATTTTTCTTCTTCCAGCATATCTGGGAGGAAATGTAAACATCTCACAATGACGCAAGTCTTCGATTACGGCTGTGGCATTTACAATCACTTGTACGATAACAAAGAACAACCAACAACAAATGTCCTTAAAACTTAAGGAGAATTGAGGTGCACTAGGAAAATCAGTCATAAGGTAATAATAAAATGATAACTATCTATAGGTTTCATCAATTATGACTTTTTCAAATTTCTTCCTCTTTAAGAATTTTTTAGGTATCCGGGAACACTCTTCGCTTCCAGTGAGGTCTTTCCTTTACTCGGTCCGCAAAAGCCGGGGAGGATTCGGAAGAATCGAGAAAACATTTTCAAAACTATGCTTTCAGGTTGACTAAAGCAAAGACAGCAATATAGTATGACTTCAGTCGGTTCGTTAGTGGCATGTAAAATCATGGGCAAAGGGTAATCATTAAGAGAGTAATTGTTGAGATCATCGTATCATAACTGGTAAAAGTGAAGTTTCGTCGCTAGTAAGGTTTCCTTTTGAGGAATATGATCCTGTGGAACTCTCTTTTCATTGACAAATAATGTCTTTATCCGCACTTAACCGCATATCAATTCATACCACGGCCGCCTGTCGCACGGTTCGAGATTTTTCTTTTATCAGATTTTACATTCAAAATTATCAAGCTGATTGTAAACTATTTAATCAATATGTTCGATGTGTTATAATGACCTAACCCTATAAATTTTCGCAGTTTCCGCCAAACAATTTGATTTTTCGCTCATTTTCGTTTTCCTTCATTGCAATAGCTTAAGTTAACTGCGTTAGCCCACGCCGGAGAAAATTATTGGTTCGGGTGATCGAAAGGCTTAGTTCCGTAAAATGTTGTGAAACGATTTATCTACGGCAGTCACACATCGTTTCTAGAACAACGTTGATGAGATCACTTCTTGTGGTCACGGCATTTTGACATTTTACTTCGGAAGTTGGTTCCTTAGCATATGTTCTCTTAAAATCAGTACCTATAACAAGTCAAACTGGACAAAATATAGTTTTCTCGGGAGTATAATGATTGAGATGTTATTAAGACGGTTTTGAAAACATCCGCAAAGAATGCAAAACATAGAGCCAAAAACTAATTTTATAAAGAGATAACATAATCTTAACCTTTAAAATCCGGAGTAATTATCTTTGGCGGCTAAGGGGTAAGAGTTGTGTTATGAGTACCGCCCGCAATCCTTCTCTACGGTGTGACAAGAATCAACATCGATGTTTCGTGGTGTTTAATCCACAGCTAAAGGAGCGAGTAGATTGGAGTTTTTGAGGCAGAAATAGAAATTTGCGTGATTAAGTCTAAGAATTTCCAGTCAATTAAGCACAACATAAACTGAAGTGATAATTCTAATATCTTCTAAATGTGTGTACAAATCAATTTGAAGATGCGTCGTCTTATATTGACAAAAGCAACTTATCAATAATTTAGATTGGCGTCAAGCGGTCTTCCGTACCTATCACATCTATCATTTCACGAAGCGTATAAAAGCATTAAGACAAAGTTGTGACCATAACGCTAAGTCGAGAGAAATTCAAAGCCGGTAGACCGTCCAAGGTTTTTTGATATCTGGAGTACAAAGGTGAGTCATGGACAGTATACAGGTGAAAATCAAAGTTGTTTCTTGTCGCTCATATTAATTGGAGAAAGTTTTCAAAATGGGAATCTACATAAGTGATCGGAACTGTTTAAATACGCATAGGTCTCAGTTAGTTAAAAACTAACGTCAATTTGGAAAAGCCACGCAAGGGAGATGTCCCTTGTACTTTAAGGTAGGTGACCTCGTTTGTTTCGGGGATAATTCCCCATGAATAACGGAATTTGACTAAAAAAAAAAAATAAAACGAAAAAGAAAGTGGCAAAATCAACAATATTAATGGCCCTGAGTTTTGTACTCCAGGGTTATGACTTTTTTTTTCACAAAAAACGAAAATCAAATCTGAAACATGAAGCTCGCTGCCGAATAAATTTTCTGAAATATTTTTAAGGTTAAGTTTCTACCAAATTTTCGTAAAACACCATGTGCGTGAGACAAGTAACTTATCCAAGTTTTTCTGTAGCGATGGTTTCATTATAGGGTCAAGTAATCTTTGACAGTTGTACTAATCAGCACATAATTCCGGCGTTTATAAATCGTAGTCAATATGTACTCTGCTAAGGCACTGTGACTGAGGCATTGTAGATTACTACCTTTGATCTTAATGCGAGCGGACATGTTTGCAGCTGTCACTAAACTTGAAAGGAAGTGAAAGGTCTTCAGCTCGAGATGAAAATTATAGTTCTAGGACTCTCTAGCGTGTTCTAGCTTTTAGTTGTATCCGCAAATTAAAGAGCTCAATACGATGTCCTTTCTTGAATATTCTTTCCTAGTTTGTTTATTAATTTTGTTGACCACGAGCCGAGAAGGTCTCTTACAGCTTAGTTATTGACGGAAGTGGAGCCTAAAAAAAAAGGTGCTAAAAATGAGCCCACTGGTAGGAATGACATTAAGCGATTAAACCGTTTCAAAAAATATATCAGTACTCCGTGTAAATTAAAAGGCTACAAAAGGATAGAAATCGCGCGCTGGAAAAATGATACAATTCTTACCGAAATTAAACGTCAATGGGTAGCGTATGGTAAATTCGCAAGACGCTGAGACCCCTGTTTGAAAATCCAAGTCAGTACCTCAGTTAACGATGTTAGCCATACTATTGTTTGCTGTTACAGTCACTACTTCATCAGCTAGGTCATTGCAAGATGATATCAAGAGATTGTTGCTTTAGGGTTGCCTTACTCACTTTTCGTGATCACAGTTTTAAATTTATTAAATTTAGTCCCTTGGTTTGGTTCTGATGTTAGAATATGAGCTTAGCTGTAACTGATCGATAATCTTCATCTCGCCCCGGGTCAGTTGATTGTGGTCTCACCTCGAGTGTTCGGAAACCTAATGATTTTAACCAGCTGTCGAGCAACCTCAATACTTAATTTTTAACGATAAGTTGTCAGGTTCAACAATTAAAGTATTTCTATATTCATTTAAATGACCAATCCTTTCTGATGTTCCTCTTTTTATAGTAACTTGATATCACTTTGTCAAATCGCTTATATGCAATGCCCTTTGTTATGCCCAATCTCAGTGACACGAAACAAAACAGTAAGATAATGAAGTAAAAGGCTTGTGGAGATTTTCCGTCCTCTTCTCTGGAATGAATAGCAAATGCATGCCTCGATACCTCTTGTTTTAACCCTCATGATTTGGAAATTCATCATACGCCTTAAGGGTTGGAAGGTTCTATTAAATTCAATTTCAGAATGTAGGTTGGTTTTTCGTTGGGTTCTTGGACACTAACAGATCTTGCCCGTCGTTTCTCCCCTTGAAGTGCGTGTGTATATACAAACAAAATATTTAGCCTTTAAATTGAAGGTTGATCGCAAGTTCTGGCTCATTGAATTCCCTCCTAACTAAACCGGTGTTTCGTTCGTCTGAGTTGGATCGTCACCGTCATCTCCCGTCACCAAAGACTAATTCGGTGTCAAATTCAATTACCTCGCTCATTATAAACAATGTAATACACTTATCAACCTAAGCCAATATATCATCGGCATTTGTAAAATACATTAGATTCATTTGTTAGATGAAGTAAGGCTTGTTTAGCTTGGGGCAGTTGTCTTACAGTCCATCTAGTTCTTTCGAAAAAGACGAAGAATGTTTTTTCTCGGAGGAACTTGTAAAAGAAGGATGAGAGCGCTTTTTATCTTTCTTTTTCGTACCCTCTACGACTGATCCCTTTGTGTACAACCTGGTTGGCAAGGTGCCTGGACCTGACTCACAAAAATGCTATTTAAAGATTACTATCCTTACTCGTGGCATATATCAAGTTGCAACAAAAGGGCCCACAAGAGGGCCAGTGCAACAAAACATACTCCCAAAAAAGTTTCGGAACAAAATGAACAAACTAAAGAGAAAGAAGGCATGATTATTTTGTTTATGTTAACGGATAGAAAGACACCAACTCAAATCTTCTCTACGCCTATCTTCGGGAATCGGTCGAAATGTTAAACCTTTGTTCAACAATTGTGTGAAAAATTGATTAACATGAAAAACAGTTAGAACAGGTGAATTAATGCAGCTTTAAATAATGGAATAAACTTGCCAATTGGATCTCCTATACTATATTTTCAGAAACAATAAACGCTGATCAATCATTAAAAAGCGAAATCGCAGTCCGAAGTCCCTCGTGAACAGTGATACAAACTGCTTAGATAAACCGAAGACAGCCAAGAGGATCGAAAGCCAAAATCAATTTCAAAAGTAAAATTAAAGTATATTGAACATTTAGTGGATCAAAATTATCGTAAGCAAGATCGTGTTTGATCGTGCTTCAGACAGTTTATCTCAGATGTTTTCATTTCCTTGAAATACACCTCAAACTTTTGAAGGATCTTAGACATTCCTCTTGTGGCTTATTTGAATTTGACAAAAAAGGAGCATTATCGATGCCTGCTTTTGTCACAAGTGATTAATTGTCAAGCTTATATTTGTCCTATTTAATTATCAAATGTCCTGCTGCGACGCTTGATTCAATTAAAATCAATCAGTAGCAGATTTTATTTGTCAAAGAATTTAACACGACAAAAATGTCTAATTACGCATGTTGAAATCACGCAGTGGAGCTCTCTGCATAACACTGCGCAGCCCACATCTCGCCATCATCTTCATCTGGATCATTCCATGACGTCTCTGGATTTCTAGGCGGTAAGAAATTTTCTTATTAATAAACCTCAAACCAAGACGTTGGTCGATAATTTTGTAATATAAGCAAATAGGATTTATCTTTGGTAACGTCATATCGTCCCTGCCTCCCTAAAAAAGGCCAAGGATTTATCCGAAGATTAGATGGTTTATTCCGATTCTTGTGTAAAAGTTTTGAAAGTTATTAAAAAAAATCGTCTTGGCTACTTATTTGGACATAGCGAACAAACGCAATAACAAAACAATGAATATTGGACTCGACAAGTCGTCGATTTTAACATGTAGTTGCCGTTTGGATAATCCGAGACTAAAATAAAGCTGAACCGTGATTTAGCAAATGCTCTTTGAAGAGGAGGCTTAATAAACCAGACATTGTAGCAAGTAAGTCTTACAAACTCCTCTCTTTTTTGTTTTAACTCATTTACGGTGAGTATTGTGGGCTTATTTTCCTATGTTTTGTAACCAAATCACTATGAGGTTTAGGTATTGCCTCAATCTAGCCTTGTGTGTAAATCGACACCAACCCGAAAATAGTACTTTTTTGAGGCTTTACTACTGATTGAGTTTTACCACAGCTAAATTAAAGCTGTCTTCAGTCAGGATTACCGCTTTTGCAAATTTTCTTGTTTGGTTTGATAACGGTGTTTTATTTTCCATCGCGTGTTTGTTGTGGTTTATTGGTCCGAAAAGCTCCAGTGTGTTCAGGTGTTTTCTATGATTCAATCAATTCTGCATATTGGGCAGTGTTAATGAGAAATAAGGCAATTTACACTCCAAGTTGCCCTTACAGTTTACAAACGGTTATCGGTTTTATTGCGTTGAGTAGAGCATGAAATTGATTCACCGGGTATTTCACTTGGGCTCTGAGGTTATCCGAACTGATTGTTTATACACATCAAAATCATAAGGGATCTTGTCAGTCCAATTCGTCACGCCACGGATAAATTTGTAAGAAAAAAAATGCTACAGTATCGTGGTCTCTCGCAGTGTCAAACGTAACACAGCCAAAAAGTTTAAATAAGACAAGATACAAGTGTAAAAAGAAGATACAAGATCTAATTAGCGATTAAAGATACTTTTTTTTCCCGCGTGTCATAGCCACGTGTTTGTTAAGGTTAAGGCTGTGTTTTCAAGGTCAGCCTCTCATGTGGATACGCACGAGGTAATTCGACCTTGTTAGCTGGGCGCGTGGAAAGCCGCGTGGCTGGTCTCATCGTTGTTCTCTCTGTTGAAAAAGAGTAGTGAAAGCTTCCCAGCGTGAATAAACCCCCTCATCACAGCACGCCCACCAGAATGCACAAACATAGTTATACATATCCCAAAATAACTGTCATAGCAGTCACGTCCAGGTTGTCATAGAGTTCGACAACTTATTTGTGCCGGAAAGGCAAATGAGCGATGTATGTTACATGATACAAGCACAGGTTAGACATGAAATATTTCAGTCTCATTTCTTATTCTCATAGATCCTCATTTACAAAGAATTACGTCAAATGCCTTTATATAAAAATGCTACAAATGTCAAAACAACGATTATAAAGTTATTCGTGCCGTTTCATATATTATGACCCGGTGTGAGCATAGGGATGGGACTGATAGATTGTCAACGTTGTGTACGAACAAACAAACGAAACGTATGATGCACGATCCTCGCAGTAGAGAGCGCTATTTATGCAATAGCGAAAATCAGACCTGAAAAAAAATTAGGCCTGTACGGGATTCGAACCACTGACTTCTGCGATACTAGTGCAGCGCTCTACCAATTGAGCTAACAAGCCAACTGGGAGCAGGTCGTTAAGTTGATTCGTAATAAACCCGTGATGATAAATCAGATACAATGTATATATGAAGTTCATATATTTTGAACTGTGGTATTAGATACGTATGATGCACGATCCTCGCAGTAGAGAGCGCTATTTATGCAATAGCGAAAATCAGACCTGAAAAAAATCAGGCCTGTACGGGCGAACCGGCCCTTACTACCTGAAAGACCTTAGACGAATCTAGATGTTGTACTTCACCGAGCCAAGAGGCCACGTTAAATACAGTTGGACGCGAATTAGGAAATTTCGCATTGCTCGCAATTTGAGAAATATCATGGGTGGGGTAAGTTATTAACTATTGTTTTCACAAAGCCTTACTACTCAAGTAAAAACTTAGGAATGAACCCGTTCGATACCGAGATCTCATAAGTAATTCTTCCTATTGTCTGCCATACAATTCTTTTGATGATAGCGAGAAGAATCTAAATCAACTAGTAATCCCCCAATCCATATTAGACACTTAATGACCAAGTCTCGGGAAACTTCAGGACTCATGGGAAAACAAAACTAGCTTTTTCCCTCGAGACTATACTTTAAGTGCTTTGTTATATATTAAGACTTTCCCTTAAACATTCCTACGGGAAAAAAAATGCTGCTGTTTTCGGCACGCGGGCAACAACTGCGCAATTGTCTCCTGGTCGGGATACATTTGAATTTGATCAGGGGCACGTGACGAAGAATGAACCAATCACGGTGCTTATTTTGTTGAGTGAAAGTCTAGGTATATAACAATTTTCATTATTCTCATCACTTGTTTGCTGGATGTCATATTGATATTGTGAAGAAATTCAGTCTTGGCCTCCCATGGAAGTTAAAAGGTTAACTAGAACGGAGAAGTTACAAAACAATCAAGAAGTTACAAAACAATCAAGAAACATCAAAAGAAAATTGTCTAGCATGGGCAATTTTTTACGCGGGAACTGGGTAGCCGGGAGGTTTGTCACTGAGCCTCGATTTTATGTGCCAGTCTTCCCGGCTCGAATCCAAAAATATATAACGTGTGCCTAATGGCCGGCAGAGCTTTCGCCGGTATCGCAAAGATACCGAATTTCAAGTTTAACTTTCCTATTGTCTAGTCTCATTCTTGAGCTTTTGTTGTGTCCCTTCTTTGGAATGATCTTGTTAACCCTATATGAATAAAGTTGGAGTCTATTCCATTATTGCCGGCTTTTCAAAGTTTGCTCAATCAGTCATGATGTTGATTATTTTGCGCCACTGACCATCAAACAAAATAATACTTGCACAGAAATTCATCTGCTCAATATGAATTGATCACAGGGTTTATTAAGCGAAAAAGTTTTTCACTTCTATTGGAAGACGATCACGCGAATAAGTTATTCGTTGGTGGCAAGAAAGTTTATTATTAAAATTCACTTGGGATAGGTATCTTGATTAAAGATTCACTCGACAGATATTCTGTGTGCCACTGCAAGAGGATCATTGACGGCAGTGGAACAAAGCCATTCAGGCCAACTGACATTTGTAGGTCGTTAAAAAATCCCTTTGTAAAATTAATTTAAGACAAAAGAAACCTGATGTGATCCTTTCTAAAGGAAGAATGGGAGGACTTCAGCTAAAATGCAACGTAAATTTCAACAATCTATCACAACCTATGAGTGTAATCACTCTTCCTGTGCGCCACTTCGCATCGAGAGTATTTACAAAAATGTTTATCTTGAACGATGGCGATTGCAAATACAATGTCATGGAAGAGGTGATAATATACTGGCATATAAAAACAAACAAGGTAGTAAAATTAAAACTAAGACATTTCTGTCCCTTTATGATGGTTGCCAAATTTCAATTTTTCCGGTATTGTCCACTGACTGAGTCAAGTTTAATAGTCCGGTGTTAAGCAGCTGACCGCACTGTTTTTATCCTAGCTGTTGGGCTTTGTTCGGTACAGCGTACGTGAGGTGAATGAAATTTACCATCATTGGTTACAAAAACTAGCCAACGTAGAAAGGTAAATCGATCTTTAAATTGAGACGTAACAACGGATATATTTTATGTAATCATTTTTTTGGGTAATTACGGAACCAGGACTGAGATCCACTTGCAGAGATCAAGGTTAGCTCAGTTATTTACATATCCCTAGATATCAGTGAAGGAAAATTTAAGGATTCGTTGGTTCAACCTGCGATTTTATCAAAACTCGAAATCGACTTTCCTTCAGTAAAATAGTTAGATTTGTATAATGACGTAAAAAGTGGAACGGAATATGACAAAACTGCGAGTACGTCTAGGCTTGATATGACATTTTCTTACATAAATTAAAGGCCCAAATACCTGACCTATTCAGCCACAAGCGCAAAAATTAATTACGTTTTGTGATATTCTTCGAAAAAAAAAAAAGAAAAAAAAACCAGATGTTATTTCAATCTCAAGGAAAAAAAGAGTGAAGTGTTTCTGCGCTCCGTACGGTTTCCCAAGGTCACCTTTAACTTTAAAGAAACTGTTTCATATATTTGGTTATTGTCGAGATAATGTTTTTATATGGGAAAGGTTTACTTGGGTTACAGATGAATTCTTGTTATTCGGCAAAAGCCAAACATAGTAGTATCGATCACGGTTTTTTAACTCTGCAAAGCATTCTTTTCTTGATCTCCTATGGTTTTGTCCGGTTTTATACCAGAGTCAGGCCTGTACATGTTTCAAATCAGAAATAACATGCTATTCCGGCCTTTCAGGAATACTGCGTGGCCTTGCGAAAGAAGGTCACAAAATACATGAGCTGATTTTCCCCTGGAAACCGGAATCAGATCCAGGGCACCCTTGTTCCGATTTGAGGTAATTACCTTTATTTGATACGGTGACATTTTCTTAAATTATTCAATGCCAGCGATTCGCGACGACGACCAGTTTAGTGTTTACTAGCTATGTAGCGTCAAGTTCAGGGCAGGATATTAAGGAAACAAATGATACGAAAATGCACTTATTCTACTCGTCTGATGGTTCTCAAGGTAATTTTGTGCCAGCGAGCAGTGTTCTCCTTAGTTAGGAAGATAGAAAGCCGTAGAAATCTCGCTCGCATTAAAGATTTATGAAGGCCACGTCGATTCTAGAAAGAAGAAAATTCAAAAAATCGTCTTCAAGAAAGAGGAAATGCAATCGTTTTGACTTAGCTACTTTCTTTAGCTTATGGAGCAAAATGACAAATATATTTACGGTAGGCTTTCTTTTAATGCCACTACCTTCCGCTACGTGTGCAGGCGGTCCAATGTGTTTATATTTTGATGCATTAACACCTCACAGTATTGCTGTGAATACAACAAGAAAAATTGTAAGCAGTTAACATGTAATATATTATTTTCAACTCGGAGGACCCAATTTCATTCTGCATGAGTGGGAAAATTAGTTGTATACTCGAAAACATTGTTTACTGGTCGCCAATATTATTTTTTGGAAAATTGTTTATTGCTCTTAGGAGTTTTTTGTTAGAAAGCTTTTTATGAATGTTGATCAGATTTTCCACCGTTTCATGATCCATGTGGTTCAATTTAAGCGTTGAGTGTTTAGAGCGCAATGTTTCTTTTACAGCGCTTTCTCTGATTCTGTCGCTAATTTCACTGATTTATTTCGATACTGGTTGCGTTATGTTGGTAATCATTGAATTAAAGTACATTAATGAAAGGTAATATGCCTATTAACTTAGTGGAAAGAAAAACAACCTTTTCCAATCTGGCTATAATGATTTTTGGTAACCTATATATGAATTATCACCTGATTACATTTCGCAGCTAAACAAAACAAAAAAAAAAAAACAAAAAAAAACGGAGGCTAAGTAACAAGGTTTTGTCATCTATCCATTGGCTTAGCATGTATTTTCTCGGATTTTACATTAAAGTGCTAGCTTAGAAGGTGAAGTCATTCAAAATTAATGAGTTTTCGTGTTTCGCAACCATGTAATCAGAAATGAATTCAAACGACTGAAGAGGAATGGACAGATTTCGATTCAGTGGTAAGTAACTAGTTCAGTTATAGGAGTAGCTTTAATTCAGACCGATTCCAAAATTATCTGCCCTGAATCTGTTTCGTCAAATTTATTGGCATATGGCTCGAATCTTTTAAGTCCGAAATGTACAGAGCAAAAATAATTTACCTACCGTTATGCTCAAGCAACTTTGTAAGAACGAGTCTTTCATTTCAATCCCTGTCATTGTCATATGGACAAAAAATTTACTTTGTTGAAGGACATTAGATTTGACCGACAATTCAGTGTTTTGAAAATATCTATTTATATCTTCGGATTTTTTTTTTTTTCATTTCATTTCTTCTTTTTTTTTTAACATTTGACTGCAAAATCAAAGCGATAAACTGTTTTGGGTTTTTTGGCAGCTAGGATGCTGATTGATGTTACGAGAAATTTTGTTTCCTTTTGCCATCCGTGTTGTTACTATTGCACTCGTTCATTGGATGAAAAATATCATGTAAAAATTTAATAAAGGCACACAAAGTTTAAGGTGAAGTCACTCTCTAAAGTAATACTTACTCACAAAAAATTGATTTATTTCATTCCCTACAGCACGTGATCCAGAACTTAACACAGTCGGATTTGGTTACCCATTTTGAATTACTGTGTAGTATTGCAAAAGGTGACAGCAAAAATTTTCAGAACTTAGATTTTTGGGAGATATTTTATTTATTATAGATAATCTACTTTGAAAAAACGAGAGCATTTTTTAATTATTGTTTTTAGAGTGTAAGTCCAGTCCTCTTATAAGTTTTGTTGCTTGCAGCTTTGTACGCACTAAAGATAATCCATCTATCTGAATTGCGTATCAAAATCAACGCAAATTGTAAAGTTGGAAAATCTTGGCTCATCTCAATCCTATCTTCAGAGAGGAGATATCTACGAGGCACTTCTAGATGCTTAGTTATGTTTCACTTAAATAATCGTTATATTTTCAGTAGAATCAATTTTTCTTTCAGGAGAAGGTAAATTAAGGGGTTAATTGTGTCGTGCGTGACATTGAAACATTTGGAGTCTAAAGCTAAGAAAAAAAACAACGGAATAATGTTGAAATGGAGCAACGTCAGTTAAAATTCCCCAGCATATCAATTTAGCAACATTCTCCTTTGAAATCGTGGGGAATCTTTGATAAAGTCGTGTCGATAGTATCTCTTTGAGATTACACAGAAAAGATGGTTTTCATGGTGGTTGCTTAGCATAGAATTGCACTGTGAAATCTTGATAAATAATTTTATTCATACATGATTTCAAATAGAACTGTAAATTTTCCGCTTATTGTACATGTTGAGAATAACTTCTTTCAAGTGAAGTTTTTTTCTAATAACGCGAACTGAGGGTCCTTAATTTCGTTGTTAAATAAAAGAAACTGGTCTAAAAGAACCGACACTTAGTCAATGCAAATTCAATGCTAACAAACAAACCAAGATATTAACCTGATTAATTTGCAAAATCATGTTATCATGCGGACGCCGAACATAAGAACACCAAATTGATAAGTGCAGATCTTATTGCGGAGCAGCAGTAAAATTTACCTCCTCTCCATTTTTATAACATTGAATAGTAACAAAATGTGCTGGAGAAGCACATGAAAGTAAGGAACGAGTTCAAAACGCTCCTGGTAATGTTATTCTACTGAGTTCTTCCGTTTTCTTTGCGATCAGTCTGTCGTGATTTTTTGCTTTGACAGCTGCGTCCTAAAAATGATCAATTTGGATTGGCGCTCAGTCGAAAGTGTGAAAACCACATCCGCATCACCGGCAAGACAATAACATCATAACATACATCTATTCCTGTTATTGTACTGTGGTTTGCTTTTTTTGCTTGGCTATTACTTAATTTAAAAGAAAATAATAATAAAAAATGACAAAAACAAAACAAAAAAGCTGATACTCAAGAAAATATAAGATGCGAGACTAAGAAAGAGCATTTGATAAAGATGAAAGAAATCCTATTTGGTTGGCAAGGAAATCATAGGACAATGAGCGTCAGAAGCAATTTTCTCGGAAGTAAATTTAGTCTTTTAGGGGATATTGGTTACTTCACAAATAACGTAAAAAAGCGTTTTCTCTTCAACAAATCCTCTTCGTTGCGGGTGGTGGATAGCGCTAGTCTCTCTAAGAGACTAATAATTGAAAAAAGAAAAAAACACCATCTAGACGGACTGCGATTTTCAAGTGAACATTGTTCCTTAGCACAATAGTCGAGCCATTAGGATCGTTGTATTGTTAGTGCAGTGACCTGTTCACAATGTAAGGAAAAGTACTCTTCATGTATGTGTACAGTCGGTAAGTTTTGAGATCGTGTGGATAATAAATTAATCTATCGGACCTAAAATATATAGCCGCTATGAACAGCCAATATACGGCAAAACAAAATATCAGTTCTGGGAAGAACTTGATATATTCAACTACTAATTGCTATATCCACAATAGAAATATCAGATTTTGGGTAAACTGTCACAGCCATAAACAACATTTCGAAAACATATTCAGCGATTTTTTTGAATTGCGAGCTCTCAAGAACACTCCATTTCAAGTCTTCTTTACTTACAATCCGTTCACAAGTGTTCTTTCCTATTTGCAGGGCTTCAGAGAAACAAGGCAAACAAAAACACCCTTTGTTACATAAATGCAGGAATAATATCAAGATGTCACCGTCTGCAGTCGTTGATTTAAAACTGGTTGAAACAACTGCAATCTTACTCGTTTACAACTAAATAGATTTTACTGACCGCAAGAGTAAGCAAATTTTCGAGATAAGAGGAAGACTTTTCATTAAACAGCCTGTCGGATAATCAGCGCTGACTGACGGTTGAGAATATCACTTCAACCACCATCAACGCCAAAAGTGCGACTCTCGACTGAGCTTTTCAGAACGCAAGATGTCTCAAGCATACTCTCTCAAACTGGTTATTCCACTCAGCATTTTGTCACTGAGTGTTATAGTAACGAACACACTTGTCTGCTTGTTGGTGTACAAGGTCAAATCAATGCGGAACTATACCAATGGATTTGTAGTATCGCTCGCCATTTCTGATATTGTGACAGGTGTTGCTTTCCTCATCCAATACAACGCCAAGCTCCACGAATGGTCTCGAGCAGCACTTAACGTCTTGTACGCCATTGTGCTTTTCGTGGGGGCATCAAATCTCTGCGCAGTGACTTATGACAGGTATTTGGCCATTTTGCACCCATTCTCATACGCTGAAACAATAACGAAAGTTTTCAAAATCGTCGTGCCAATAATTTGGATTTTCTCGGTGGTGGTCGCATGTATACCGCTTACGTGGGAAGGAAATACGACTATTCTCCACACCAGAATTTACATCGTCTTCTTTCTTACCATTTCCATAGCTCTTCCTTACGTCTTGATAGTCTATGCAAATTATAAGATCTTTCGATTAGTAAGGCAATGTGTGCGACGCGAGCGAGAACTGAGCATCTCCTTGCATGCTTCGAATTCGAAGGCGGATACGAAAAAAAAATGCACGCCGAGGAAGATTTCCTCTGAAGCTAAAGTGGCAAGGGTCTTCGCTGTAGCATCGTTGATGTTTGTGTTGAGCTATTTTCCAACTTTATTTTGGTCGGCAGCGAATGCCGTGGGCCATAAAGAAGTGGTTCCCATGCTTTTACTAGACTTCTCACCTTTCTGCGTGGTGTTTGGATCTCTTGTTAATCCCATTTTGTACTCGTTCATGAAACCGGATTTTCGTAGAGCCCTGAAGAAAATTCTTAGAGGAAAACGAGCCTATCTGAACGCGAGAAGATCTCAGAAATCGTCAATGCCAAGCATTGGAGCAACAAACACCACACCAATTGTGTCGAGGAAGGCAAAGGAAACTCTGGTTCATAATGGTGCATTTTGCAAAGGGAGCGATCCTATCGAGAGCAACGTCTAACAAAACAGACTCGAAGAATGATGGAGACGACATTGATTGTAATTAACACTTGAAAATGTGAAGAAGTAAGAATAATATGATAGAAATTTGATAGTGACATTGATATTATTATCATTATCACAAAGTCATTATTTCTTTTAAGAGACATTCGTGATTTACATCAGTGTAAAGCAGAAGTATACTCCATCTTTAATCATTTCTGCATGATGTCTGAGTTGAAAAAAATAAAGCATCCTTTCCAAACTATAATAATATTATTCAAGCTCGTGAAACGTATCTCTACGATTAGAATGTCGCACAAAGTTGCCAGTCAGCTTTTTTCCGTTCCTAGTAACTTCCCATGCTTCCTGTATCAACGAGACATCTCAACCATTGTCAACTTTTGTGGCTGTAAAACCCAGATTATTCTTTGAATCATAACAAGACGGGATGATCATTTGTAAATGAAAACTGTGAGACAATAGCAGAAGCCTAAACGGTCGCTGTTTGTTAAGGCATCGCTGGCGAGGTAAGAGAAGAGTGAAGCCAGTAATGGCTTCACTCTTACTGTTCCTAGTAACTTCCCATGCCTCCTGTATCAACGAGACATCTCAACCATTGTCAACTTTTGTGGCTGTAAAACCCAGATTATTCTTTGAATCATAAGAAGACGGGATGATCATTTGTAAATGAAAACTGTGAGACAATAGCAGAAGCCTAAATGGTAAGGTCGCTGTTTGTTAAGGCATCGCTGGCGAGGTAAGAGAAGGAAGCCAGTAACTCGTGCCAAAATTTAATCTCTTAAGACATGATCTCAACGTCAAAACCTAAATTAACTCCAAATGTTTGACGCAAGTGCTGCCAAATGAAATTCAAACAAACCTAACCAGACTTAGATGGAAGAATCACTGAACGGCTACATGACCCATTGTTACCCAAGACCCTTTAGCAACACTTACATTGCCTTCGCGAGAAATTCTTAACACATTCGACATTTGACTTATTAAAGCAAATTTTGGGTCTGCTGATTGTTCAGCTTGTTTTGTATGCAAGCAACTGTAAAAACGTTGTCAACTAGTAAAAAGCTGCATAAAAGAGGAGGTTGAGTATGTGCTTATGTACGATGTGAGCTTCCAAGGTACTTAAAGATTTTTCAAGTATTTCAGATCGCAATTTCCATCAACTATGGCTTAGTGTTCAGGTTAAAAAATCCAAGTTGATCGTGCTTTGTGTAGCATACCACCCGGTATGAGGAGATATATTGAAACCGATCTACACCCAAGCCTTGTTGTTGAACAAGCCAATAATCATCCTTGGGGACTTAAATTGCGACGGGCTTGACAGCTCTTGTCACGAGTATGCAGCTATCAATAGTTTCACACGTGAAATGAACCTACAGCAGTTAATAAAGGAACCGACCAGGATTACGACCACTACCGAGTCACTATTAGATGTCATCTTAGTTTCAGATCCTTCTTATGTTCGTAAGAGTGGTGTCATTAATTTTCCAATTAGTGACCACCTTCCAGTTTACGTTG